GGCGGAGGCTTAACTTTTACGCCACAGCGCTGACCCCCATCTGCTGCTTTCTAAGGTGCATTAGCAGGGAGCTGGATCGGAAGCAGAGCAGCCAGGACTCAAATCAGCACACTAACATGGGATGCTGGTGTAGCAAGCGGTGGCTTAACCGGCTAAACCACAACACCAGCTCCTAAATAAATACATTTTTTTTCTTTAAAGGCAGCATTAGAGAGAGAGAGAGAGAGAGAAAGAGAGAGATTTTAATCTGCTGATTCACTCCTAAAATGGTTGCAACTGCTGGGGCTGGGCCAGACTGAAGCCAGGAGCCTGGAACTCCATCCAGGTCTCCCATGTGGGTGACAGGGGCACAAGCACTTGGGCCATCTTCTTCAGCTTTCCCAGGTACATTTGCAGGCAGCTGGATCAGAAGTGGAGCAGCCAGGACTTGAACCAGCACTCATATGGATGCTGGCGTTGCGGGAGATGGCATAATCTACTGCACCACAACACCGGCCCCAGTAAAGAAATCTTTAAGGAAAAGAAAAAACTTTGGGGATTAAATTTACAACACGTTAACTTTTTTTTTTTTTTTTTTTTACAGACAGAGTGGACAGTGAGAGAGAGAGACAGAGAGAAAGGTCTTCCTTTTGCCGTTGGTTCACCCTCCAATGGCCACCACGGCTGGTGCACTGCAGCCGGCGCACCGCGCTGATCCGATGGCAGGAGCCAGGTGCTTCTCCTGGTCTCCCATGGGGTGCAGGGTGCAAGCACTTGGGCCATCCTCCACTGCCTTCCCGGGCCACAGCAGAGAGCTGGGCTGGAAGGGGGGCAACTGGGACAGGATCCGGCGCCCCGACTGGGACTAGAACCTGGTGTGCCAGTGCCGCTAGGCAGAGGATTAGCCTATTGAGCCGCGGCGCCAGCCAACATGTTAACTTCTAAGGAAAGTTCCGCTGGCTTGCCTCTGTGGACACCATGCCCAGTGTTGTCATTGCCATGGGCCATGGAGAAGCAAGGCCCGTCCTAGCTGCCATTTCCGCTTTGCTGCCCAGCCTGGGGAGAATGCCCTGCTGGCTTCTGACAGCTAAATGTCACCATTCATATCGGCTAAATGCGTCATCCCCTGGGGCTCTAGGTCTCCTGCTGCCACCACTGGCCCATGAGGACGGTCACCAAGAGCTTCTCTTTGGTGCTGGAGAGGCACTGTCCTTACTGCCTTAGTGTTGGGTGTGTCCTCATGGCAACTTTAGGAGACATCTTCTGGTCACGTAACAAGTCTACTCCGACATTCCCACTTCCCTGAATCTTCAGAATCCTGCTTCAAGACCATGTGTCATGGGGCTAGCATTGTGGCACTGCACCAGGTTAAGCCATTGCCAGTGATGCTGGTATTCCATATGGGCACTGATTCAAGTCTGGCTACTCCAATTCCAAATGCAGCTCCCTGCTAATATGCCTGGAAAAGCAGCAGGAGATGGACCAAGTACTTGGGCCCCTGCACCCACGTGAGAGACCAGGATGGAGTTCCAGGCTCCTGGCTTCAGTCTGGCCCAGACCCAGCTGTTGCAACCATTTTAGGGTTAATCAGCAAATAGAAATCTCTCTCTCTCTCTCTCTCTCTCTCTCTCTCTCTTTCTCTCTCTCTGTCTGTCTCACCCTCTCTCTGTATCTCTGCCTTTCAAATAAGTAATAAAATAAAATGAAGATGATATGGGGTAATGGGGCAGTTAAAGTTTAGGTGAGCTGGAACTCTCATACCCTTGCAATGTAATCCTATCTCTTTAACTGTGGCTCTATACATCCAAATTCCCAGGATGCACCTGTTGCATTCAGGCCCAGGGTACATGCCCAGCCCCACCCTGGTTGTATATGAGATTGGGGTACCATCCTGTTCCTTTTTTTTTTTTTTTTTTGACAGGCAGAGTGGACAGTGAGAGAGAGAGAGAGAGAGAAAGGTCTTCCTTTGCCGTTGGTTCACCCTCCAATGGCCGCCGCGGCCGGCGCGCTGCGGCTGGCGCACCGCGCTGATCCAATGGCAGGAGCCAGGAGCCAGGTGCTTTTCCTGGTCTCCCATGGGGTGCAGGGCCCAAGCACCTGGGCCATCCTCCACTGCACTCCCTGGCCACAGCAGAGGGCTGGCCTGGAAGAGGGGCAACCGGGACAGAATCCGGCGCCCCGACCGGGACTAGAACCCGGTGTGCCGGCGCCGCTAGGCGGAGGATTAGCCTATTGAGCCGCGGCGCCGGCCCCATCCTGTTCCTTATAAAAAGGAGGTGGAAGGTGGGAGAGAGCTCTCTTCCCACCACGGAACACATAGACATACTGCTCTGACTTTCTAAATCTTTCTGCATGGACTCAGCTCGGGTGGACCTCTGCTGCTCTCCCGCTCTCGCTTAGAGTTCCATTTTTGCTTTCACTTCTGTCTCATTTGCAAGCAACAATTTGGCCCACTCATGCTGGGTATTTCTGTTTTGTACGGCCCACACTCACACATGAATGTGTTTATTCCTCACTGTTTTCTTTTGAGAGCTTTCTTTATTGATTTTATTGGAAAGGAACAGTTATAGAGAGAGAGGGAGAGGGAGAGGGAGGGAGGGAGGGAGGGAGAGACAGACAGACAGACAGACAGAAAGATCTTTCACCTGCTGGTTCACTCCCCCAAATGGCCGCAATGGCAGGGGCAGGGTCTCCCACATGGGTGGTAGGGTCCCAAGTACTTGGGCCATTCTCCACTGCTTTCCCAGCAGGGAGCTGGATCAGAAGCAGGATAGCCAGAACTCTAACCAGCACTCATATGGGTTGCAGGTGGTGGCCTAACCTGCTGAGCCACAATGCCATCCCCTATTCCTCACCGGTAAATAAATTATGGTCCTATTTGCACACAATACTAGTCTTAGTGTTTTTACCTCTGTGGGAGACAAGAACCTGGATTGGAAGTTAATATATTCATTGGCTGCATAACAGACTGTGCCAAGACAATTGTGGCATCTCCAGTTCAGTTACTGTAGAATGGGTGATGGCCAAGCTTCTGGGAGACATCCAGAGGCACTAAAGGACAAGTTCAGGTGTCCTGGGCAGAACCTTAAACTTGAGTCACAGGGGATGTTCCCTGCTCTGTCAGCACCCTGCTGGCAGTCTTATCTACCACGCCCTCCCTCTGGGTTTGTTGACCCCAAGATCCACTCCCACACGGCTTCTCCCAGGGTCTGCTGTCGGTTACAGGCTGCCACTCTTCGGGTGACTGAGCTTTTTCCTAGAGTAGGAAATCATTACTTAGACTTTGCGGAGACCGATCCTAGCTTCCGACCCTGCAAGGCGATGGGGTGGATCTTGAGGACTCGCGTCATCGTAAAGCACCACTCTACAGGGAGGGCCTCAGCAGTGCCTGCAGGACCGATGAAGCTGGCCTCTGTCACTGGGAAGGAGGCAGCTCCTGCCATCCAGGAGTGTTCAGAGGACTCCGGAGCTCAAGGGTCTTTGGTCTTTGACCTTTATTTTAAAAAAATTTATTTATTTATTTATTTATTTATTAGAAAGGCGGAGTTTCAGAGAGGGGGACAGGCAAGGCAGAGGCAGAGAGAAAGAGAAAGAGAAAGAGAGAGAGAGAGAGAGAGAGAGAGAGAGAGAGAGAGAGAACTTCCATCCATTGGTTCACTCCCCAGTCGCAACAGCAGGGGCTGGGCCAGGCCTCAGCCAGGAGCCAGGAGCTTCCTTCAGGTCTCCCACGTGGGTGCAGGGGCCCAAGCACTTGGGCCATCCTTCACTGCTTTCCCAGGCACACCACCAGGCAGCTGGACTGGAAGTGGAGCAGCCAGAACCTGAACCAGTGTCCATATAGGATGCCAGTGCTGCAAGAGGTGGCTCAACCCGCTATGTCACACACACCCCCACACACCACCCCTGATCTTCTACCTTAACAGCAGGGCCCAAGGTCCCACTCCTTCCCTTTTAAAGCCCAACTCTATTATAGGAATGTAGAATGTAGGAGTCTTTTGCAACTCTGTTGCTTTCCTGATGAAATCTTGGGCTTCATTTTTAGCACCTTCTGCCTTCTGCCTCCTAAGTGAGGGTTTCTTCACATGTTACCTTGGGGGAGTTTCTGGCTTGCACGGCATGCCCTGAGTTGATGGTAGGCCAGCACAAGCCTTTCATTCTCCCTTCAAAGCTGCTAAGTTTAGAAAAGATAGCCACCTCCATAATCCTTGCAATATTGCTGCTTCCAAGTCTTTCAAGGGCCAAAGCTTTCCCTTCAATTTCATTTTTTTAAATTTAAATTTTACTTATTTGAAAGGCCAATGAAAGAGAGAGAGAGAAACAGAAAGAGATCTTCCATTTGCTGGTTCACTCCCCCACTAGGCAGAGCCAGGAGCCAAGAACTCCAGCCAGGTCTCCCACAAGGGTGGTTACCTCAGCTATCAGTGTGCTGCCTCCCAGGAGGCAGGAAGCCGGCTCAGAAGCCGAATAGCCAGTACTTGAACCAGGAACTCCGAATGGATTGTGTGTGTCCCAAACAGTGGCTTACCATGCTATGCCAAAACACTCGCCCTCCTCTGCCCCACCCGGAATATTTTTGCAAAGCTCTGAGGTGCAGGAGGCAGGAAGCCACAGTCCTTTGCTCCTGCTTCTGCTCTGTCACTTTTCTCCTCTGGAGAATGAACTTGGCTGCCACAGCAGGCGCAGGGCCAGGGAGTGAAATTCCAGAGCAGATATCTCGAGATCATCCTGGCCCATTTACTGTGGACTCTTTCCCTACTTGGACACCACTGCCTAGGCCCACCCTGGCCTGTGGGGCACCCTACTTCCTGCTCCCTGTCGGCCAGGGGGGTTCTCTTCTCTACCCCAGAACTGCCACTGGCTTAAAACCATCTGACCAAAGCACCATTCCCTAAACTTTAGGCCTTCTTGGATCACCTTTATGATTTTGCTATTTTATCATGCCACATATTATTTTTGCTTCATATTTTTATGTATCCCGCCTTCTTTTTTACTAATTTTTTGTGTGTAGTAAAATTCACAGATTCACCCTTTATAAACATTTATTTTCAATTCACTTGGAAGACAGAGAGACAGAGATCTTCCATCCACTGCTGGCAACAGTTGGGACTGGGCCAAAGCTGGAAGCTGGGAATTCAATCTGGGTCCTTCACATGGGTGGCGGAGACCCAACTACTTCAGTCGTCACTGCCTTCCAGGGTGCTGAGCCGGGCCAGGACTCAAGCCCAGGCACCTTAACTGCTATGCCAAACCTACCCCAGAGGTGTCATTTTGAAGTGTCTAATGACAGGTTTTGTGTCGTCTTGCAGAATTTAAGTACACATTTTTAAACGAAGCAGTAGTTTGGTCTTCAGAAAGCAAGTCGGGACCCCACCCTCTTTCATAGGTCTGCAGGTCGCCCTAGTGAAATGGTGGAGGCCTGGGGCCAGCACCGTGGCACAGTGGGTTAAACTGCCGTCTGCAGCACCTGCATCCCATACATGAGGCAATTCGAGTCCCAGCTGCTCTGCTTCTGATCCAGCTCCCTGTTAATGTGCCTGGGAAAGCAGCAGAAAATGGCCCAAGTGCTTGGGCCCCTGCACCCACATGGGAGACTTGGAAGAGAGGCTCATGGCTCCTGGCTTCAGCCTGGACCAGCCCTGGCTGTTGTGGCCAGTTGATGAGTGAACCAGCAGATGAAGACCTCTCCTCTCTCTAACTCTGCCTTTCAAGTAAATCTTAAAAAAAAAAAAAAAATGGTTGAGTCCTACAGAATGTGGACATTGCCAGTGTGGACTGTCTGTACTCCAAGGCGTGGAGTCTTCAGGCCAAGTCTTCCTGAATTTTTCAGGAGAGCAGGAAAAATGCTGGGTTTAAAAAATTTTTTATTTTATTTTTTAATTTTTATTTATTTATTTGAATGGCAAATTTACAGAGGCAGAGGAAAAAGAGAGTTATTCCATCTACTGGTTCACTCTCCAAATGGCTGCAATGGCCTGAGCTGGGCAGATTCAAAGCCAGGAGCCAAGAGTTTCCTCCGGTCTCCCACGTGGATGCAGGGGCCCAAGCACTTGGGCCATCCTCGGCTGCTTTCCCAGGCGCATTGGCAGGGAGCTGGATAAGAAGTGGAGCAGCCCCAGGACTGGAAACAGCATCCATATGGGATGTTGGTGCTGCAAACGAGCTTAACCTGCTGTGCCACAGCTCCCTCCCCAGTGCTGATTTATTTTTAGGCGACATCTGCAAACACTGAGAAGCCGGCAACTAATGCAAACGCAAACGTTCCGTGGCAGGGGGGTGGGGTGGGGTGGGGTGTGTGTGTGTGAGAGAGAGACACGGAGGCCCTTAACAGAGGCGCCACCTTCCGCTCCAAAAAGCAGCACAGGTAGAGATGGGAGGCAGCCAGGGCCCAAGGTTCCCCAGGAATCTCGCGCTCTCACCCCGCCCCCCGCCCCCCCCCCCCACCGGCACCTGGAGCAGAAGTGTAAAGTCCTCGACCCTCGCCCCATCCACGCCCAGCCTGGCAGTCTTCACCCTTGCTCCGTCGGGCAGCCTGGACACCACTCCCCGCCGCCCGGATCCCCGCACGGTCTGCCGCGAGCCAGGATCTTGGAGCACCTCCCCTGCACCTCCTCCACAACCCAGGCCTTCCCAGCCCAGCACCCTCCAGGCCCTGCTGCCTCGGGCAGCACTCCCGGCCCCAACCCCACGCGACCCGCACCGACACAGCCGCCACCAGCGAGTAGGGCAAGGCGCGCGTGCGCGGCACGGGCTTTATTGCGTCACCGCGGTTCCAGCGCGCGCGGCTCGAGCCGCAGCACCGCGCTGGCGGCGTCGCGCTTGCGCGTCCCCTGCCAGGCGCGCGCCGCGGTAGCGGGGCTGGCCTCGGGCTCGAACTGTTGCTCCAGCATGTGCATGCGCACCGTGGTCTCCGTCAGCATGTCCAGGAGCAATTCCTGCTGCAGTTTCAGGTAGTTGTTCTCCTCCACCAGCTCCCGGTTTCCGCACTTGCTAGGAACCTGACCTTTCAAACCCCGAAAAAAACCCCGGGAGGGCAATTGGCGGCCCGTTGGACGTGGCCCCCCCCCCCCGGAGCTTTCGGGGGGTCCAGGGGCCCCCCTCCGGAACCCGGAAGGCTCTCCCCCGTTGAGGCGCTTCCCCGGTCCCCCCGTAGCTGAGGCCCAGCTCCGCCTGGCGTGTGCGGTGGTCGAGCAGGTAGAAGGTGGACATGGAGGATATGCGGCGCAGCGGCGGGCGCCGAGGCGAGAAGCGCCGCGAGAAGTTGTCGGCCCAGAACTGCCGCAGCTGCTCCCACAGGCGGCTGGGGTGGCTCGAGGCCAGGCACTCGAAGGCTGCCAGGACGAGCGTTGGGTGGGGCCGCTTCTGAGTGGCGTGCAGGTGCCGAACAAGGCAGCCGCGGGGTCCCGAAAGATGAAGGCAAGCCAGGGTCACTGTCGGGGAGCAGGAGTCCCCGGTGAGAGCCAGCCACCCCCATTCACAGCCGGGCCCGCGGCACACAGTAGGGCCAACGAGGAACCCAGCTTGGCACACCCACCCTCCCCCCCCCCCCCCACCCCCGACCGGAGTCCCTGCCCCCACAGATCGCTCTGCAGCATCGGGCCCTGGGGATGGGGATGGGGACGGGGCCTTACTCTCTGAGCTGGACTGGGCATGGATTGTGGGTGGAAGACGAGGGACTAGCAGCCTGGACTTAGAAAGAGGAGGAAGGCTCTGCCAGGGCGATTGCGGACGGATGATGGGCGCTTCCAGGCGGAGTGAAGAGCCAGGCAAGGCTTTCCCGTTCCAAATGGGACCAGCAGCCCAGGGGAGCTGGTGCCCCGAAAAATAGAAAAGGACGCCGAAAGGTGTCACCACCAGGTGACAGGTGCCACCAGGTGAGGGCGCTGTGCAGGCTGGCTCAGAAATTAGGCTTCATTCCCTGGTAAGAGGAATGCCTGAGGGTTCGATCCAGGTTCTGTGCATAAACGCTGCTCACAAGATCCAGAGATTTGACCATCTTGAACTAGCACCTGCTCTGTGCCGGGCCCTGATCTGGGCAGGGGACCCCAGCACAGCCTGTGCCTGCCTTCTGGGTGCTCCTGGTCCAGCTGGGAGGACAGACGTGTGCCCAGTGCCATCTGGGCTGGGTGCCCTGCCTAGACTTGTGCTTAAGGGCCTGGGCACCCGAGACAGGAGTATTCTTGTTGTGAGCAGACCACACCCTCAAGGAATTTGAAGTCCAGATAACAGCCGAGACCTGTTCTGCCTTTCCCTTCCCCTGGTGAGTGCTGACTGTTGTGTCAGAGAAGGAGCCGTGTGTCCTTGTTTTTCATGGTGGGCGAAGAGAGAACTGCGGGCAGGGCTCCCTCTGCCGCGCTCTCATTAACCCAGCGCATCCTCAGGCAAAGCTGGGCAAGAGGCCAACTGTGCCCCTGGTTCAGGGAGACAGTACCTGGCAACCCACAGCCAGGCCCACCCGTCAGGCCGTGTCCTCCCAGAGGACTCCCTTCCCGATAACCTTACCGGCTCGCCCCTCGCCTGGAAGATGTGGTGGAGGTGCCGAGCTGCCCAGCTGCGGTCCCAAACCTGGCCCCATCTCTGACCCCGCTTGCTTCCTGTCTTACCTGCTGTACGACTCACAATGCCAGGCCAGCCCAACACAGGAGTGCTGACTGCAGACCTGGGCTGTCTCCCTGTCTCTCTTGCGCTCACTCAGTGCATTTACTGAGCACACACTGAGCTGCAGGCACAGTTCTAGGAGAGTGAGGGGTACACTGGCCCCTTAAGCTCCATTCTCATCATCCTCACTCTTTGTCATTTATCGTTCTTGACAGGGGAGTGGGATGTGGGGGTGGTCATAGGCAGACAGGAATGTCTTCTAGGGGGGTTAACAAGATAGTTCCTCTGGTGACAGTTCTTGCTTGAGTGAGTCATGGAGGAAGTGGTCTCGGGAGAAGGGAGCGAGGGCAGCAGGACAAGCTGGCGGAAAGCTACCAAGCAAGGGCTTTGGAGGCTAGCCTGCTCACAGGAGCTCCCGTGAGGACCCCTGCAGGGAAGGGAACCCCTGCTGTGTTCCCTACCTCCCACTGCCCCCATTCAGTTCCTCCTGGGCAAGGGAAGCTCTGGGATGGTGCCCCACTGGTAATGGGGGTCTGGGTGGGAAGCCCACAGCATGGACAGGGGAGGAAGAGAATAGTTAGTAAAAATGGCAGGACATTGCTAAATGGGTAAGGGTTTCTGATTGTGATAACGTACAGTTAGGAAAATAAAACAGGGAAAGGGGCCCGCGCCGTGGCGTAGCAGGTAAAGCCGCTGTCTGCCGTGCCAACATCCCATATGGGCACGGGTTCAAGTCCCGGCTTCTCCACTTCTAATCCAGCTTTCTGCTATGGCCTGAGAAAGCAGTAGAAGATGGCCCCTGCACCCGTGTGGGAGACCCAGAGAAAGCTCCTGGGTTTTGCCTTCAGATTGGCTCAGCTCCGGCTGTTGCGGCCATCTGGAGAGTCAACCAGTGAATGGAAGACTCTCTGCCTCTGCCTCTGCCTCTGTGTAACTCTGCCTTTCAAATTAAAAAAAAAAAAACAAAAACTTAAAAAAAACACACAGGGAAATATGGAAAGTGACTTGGGGTAGGAACAGGTCTAGACATGGTGCTCAGAGAAGGCGCTTAACATTCATGCTGAGACCTGCATGATGAAGAGACCCCAGCCCCATACAGATCTGGGGACCAGAGGCAGGAAGGTACTGGGCGTCTGTGAGAAGACAAGCACCGAGTTTGGGGCAGTGGTAGGTAGTGAAGGCAGCCCCACCTGATGAGACCATCCCCTTGACTGCTGACGCCTGGGGCCGCTTTCGGGGCCCTCCTGGCCCTGCAGGGGTAGGACCCAGCTCCGGGGAAGTTCAGAAGCCAGGGGAGTGCCACCTCATGGAACACTTCTTGAATAATTTTTTTGTTTTGTTAAAAAAAGTATTTCTTTCAAAGGCAGAGTTACAGACCGGGGCTGTGCCAGGCCAAAGCCAGGACCCATGTGGGTACAGGGGCCCAAGGACTTGGGCCATCGTCTGCTGCTTTCCCAAGTGCATTCGCACATTAGCAGGGAACTGGACTGGAAGTAGAGCAGCTGACACTGGAACTGGTGCCCGTATGGGATGCCTGTGACACAGCGGCTTAACCCACACTGAGCTACCATGCTGGCCCCTCTTTCACAGTTTAATTTAGGTATAATTGATAAAATCAAGTCTATATATTTACAATGTACAATTCAACATGTTTGATAATTTATTGAGTGAAATCATCCTCTGAATCAAGACATTAAGACACCCAATACCTCGAGGGAGAAGTCTTCTCTACTCCAATCACTACGTATTTTGATGGCATTTTCTAGAATTGTTCAGCATGTAGTTTGTGTCATCAGCTTCCTGCAGGGGCATTCTTTTGTTTGCCTGTGTTGTCACCTTTATCGACAATCCTTTCCTTTTCGTTGGTGAGTACTGCTCCACTTTATGAAAACACCACAGCGTTTGATTTTCTGTTCAGCTGTTGGAAATCTGGGCTGCTTTCTGCTTTGGGGTTACTCCAGTGAAGGCTTCCATAGGCCCGTCTGTAGAAGTCTTTGTGTGGACCAGTGCTTAAAGGCTTAGTAGCATGATGGCTAGATGGGATGGCAGGTGTGTGTTTGCTGTTTCGTGACGGAGGCAAGCTTTTCCCAAAGATAGTTGTACCGTGTCCCCATCAACCGTGAACAGAAGTTTCTGTTCCTTCGTGGCCTGAGCAGCATGTGTATGGTAAGCCTTTTTAATTTTAGTCACTGTAGTCCTGTGGTTTTAATTTGCATTTCTTTAACGGCTAATAATGGTGGGCATCTTCTCATGCCTTTATGTTACCCACTTTGATGAAGCAGTCGTTCCAGTCTTGCCCATTTAAAAGGTTGAATTATTTGTCTTGGTTTTTTTTTTTAAAGAATATTTATTTTAAAGGCAGGGTAAGAGAGACAAAGAGAATCTTCCATTTACTGGTCCACTCCCCAAATGGTTACAATAGCCGTGACCGATCCAGGCCACAGCTGCTGAAGCCAGGAGCCAGGAACTCCATCTGGGTCTCCCATGTGAGTGACAAGGGCCCAAGTATTCAGGCCATCTTCATTGCTTTCCCAGGTGCATTAGCAGGGAGCTGGATCAGAAACAGAGCAGCTGGGACTTGAACTCCCACTATGATTTGGGATACTGACATTGTAAGTGGCAATTTAACCTGCTGTGCCCCAATGCTGGCCTTGAATTATCTGTCTGACTGAATTGTAGTTCTTTTTTTTTTTTTTAAAGATTTATTTATTTATTTGAAAGAGTTACGCAGAGAAGGAGAGACAGAGAGAGTGAGAGGTCTTCCATCAGAGGGTTCACTCCCCAATTGGCCGCAATGGCTAGAGATGCGCAGATATGAAGCTAGGAGCCAAGAGCTTCTTCCCGGTCTCCCATATGGGTGCAGGGGCCTAAGGATTTGGGCCATCTACTACTTTCCCAGGCCATAGCAGAGAGCTGGATTGGAAGTGGAGCAACTGGGTCTTGAACCAGTGCCCATATGGGATGCCAGCACTTCAGGTGGTGGCTTTATCCGCTATACCACAGTGCCCCCCCCCCCCAATTGCAGTTCTTTAATTTGAGATAAAAGTCCTTTGTGTATGTGAAGGGATGGGGGAGGGGACAGGCAGGTGCTGTGGGACATCTTATATCAGAGCACCAGTTCAAGTCCGAGCTGCTCCATTTCCAGTCCAGCTTCCTGCTAATGTGCATGGGAAGGCGGTGGAAGGTGGCCCAAGTGGAGACTCAGACTTTGGCTTGGGCCAACCCCAGCTGTTCACTATGTGAGGAGTAGACTAGTAGATGGGAGATTCTTTCTCTCCCTCTCTTACTCTGTCTCTCCATCCACCTCTCTCTCTCTCTTCCACTTTGCCTTTCAAACAATTATTTTTTAAAGTCCTTTGTCAGCCATGTTTTGCAGTTATTTCCTCCCACTCTGTGGCTTGTCTTTTAGCATAAAACTTTTAAATTCTGATGAAGTCCAATTTATCAGCTTTTTTTTCTTCTATAGGTCAGGTCTTTGGTGTCATATTTGAGAACTGTCACCAAGCCTAAGGTAAATAAGATTTTCTCCTCTGTTTTCCTAGACTTTATGGTTTTAGCTTTACAATTTATGTTTGTCTCCCTTTTGTTTATATGTTGATTTTCATACAGATGTCAAATTGACTCTACCATTTATAGAAAAGACTGGCATTTCCCTCCCTGTCTGCAGGTGTCATCCTGTGACTGTGTATGTGTGGATCTGGCTTTCTATTCTTTTAGAAAAACTTTTAAAGAAACTTGTTGGGGCCAACACTGTGACTGCCAAAGTGGGTTAAGTTGCCTCCTGTGACGCCAGCATCCCATATCAGAGCAAGTTTGAGTCCTGGCTGCTCCACTCTGAGTCTAGCTGCCTGCTAATGCACCTGGGGAAGCAGTAGAAGATGGCCCAAGTGCTTGGGTTCCTGTACTCACATGGGAGATCTGGATGGAGATCCAGGCATCCTGGCTTAGGCCTGGCTCAACCCCAGCCACTGCTGTCATCTGGGGAGTGAACCAGTAGATGGAAGGTTTCTCTCTGTGTATGTACATGTGTGTGTATATATAACTCTGCCTTTCAAATAAATTAATTGATTAAAAAAGAAGAAACCAGTTTCATATATTTGAAAGGCAGAGGTGGGGAGGGTGAGAGATCTCTGCTGCTTCACTCTCCAAATGGCTAGACTCAGAAACAGAGCCAGGACTTGAACTCTGGCGCTCTGATGGGATGTCAGTGTTCCAAGCAGCGTCTTAACCACTGGACCAAGTGCCTGCCCCTTTGCTCTCTGGTCTCTCCCTTGGCCTCTCTATTCTGGCACCAATGCCCTATTTTCTTAATTATTGTTGCTTACAATAAGTCTTAATATCTGGTAGTGTAAATCTCCCCAAAATTTTTTTCAAGATTGCTTTGGCTTTCTAGGTTCTTTGTATTTTCATATAAATTTTAGAATTAGGATATCAGTTTCCATAACCAAGTCCTCCTGCTCACTGTTCAAAGCTCTGTCTCTTCTCATCGCTGGGGGCTCCCACCAGTCTTCAGAGGGTCATCTGAGACCGGCGCTGTGGCTCACTAGACTAATCCTCTGCCTGTGGCACCAGCACCCCGGGTTTTAGTCCCGGTTGGGGTGCCGGGGTCTGTCCTGGTTGCTCCTCTTCCAGTCTAGCTCTCTGCTGTGGCCCAGGAGGGCAGTGGAGGATGGCCCAAGTGCTTGGGCCCTGCACCCGCATGAGAGACCAGGAGGAAGCATCTGGCTCCTGGCTTTGGATCGGTGCAGCGCGCCGGCCGTAGCAGCCATTTGGGGGGGTGAACCAACGGAAGGAAGACCTTTCTCTCTCTCTCTCTGTCTCTCTCACTCATTCACTGTCTAACTCTGCCTGTCAAAAAAAAAAAAAAAAAAAGAAGAAGAAGAAGAAGGTCATCTAATGAACCTGGACTCCCAGCCCAGGAACAGTCTAAACAAACCAGGGGCCCGTTCTCTTTGATGGTGTGTATGTGTCTGTGTTTAAGATTTATGTAATTATTTGTCACAGAGAA